ACGGCCATACATGACAATATGCTCTCTCACAGTTGGCAGGACCATGATAGCAAGGCGCATAACGGACATCTGCGCTCGATACGGCACCGGGAAGCCGCTTTCCGGAAGCCAAGCTCGGTAAAAGCAATGCAGATGCACACGGAGGATGAAGGAGATGATGAATACCTGACCCCACCCAAGCGCAGAGGTGGCCAACGCTTTTCGGACATTTCGATCAGGTCTGCCGGTTCATCGCCGCTGAGAAAGTTCCATCATTATTCGCCGTCAGGGTCTGCAGGTAAGCCCAAGGTTAAAAAGGAGTATCCACTGGTACTTCTACACTGTAACCTGCTTCCACCCTCTCTTCCTGTGCCAGGCGCGACGGGTTACCACAACCAGAAGATACTCCAAGAGGTTTTGCCTCCGGAGTATTGGAGGCGCTGGAAGCTGCTGGAAGAGAAGGTCGGATCTGGTGTGCTCCGTGAGCGTGGGGTGCTTATCTCTCACCCGGAGGACCTGTACGACTTGCTAGAAGAGCGGCTACTGGAGAGTCTAGAGCTACAGCGCCCAAGGCTAGATCATGGCCATTTCCTGGGACATGATGAGAACGACTCTGATAGGGACGATCAGTCTGTAAGAGAGAGCGCTACGGACGAGGAAGAAGGGGAGGAGTGCCCCGATTGTGGAGGACACGTGGTGCGCCACAATAACGAAGGCAGAAAATGGGAGATCAAGGTATTCGCAGCCAATGGACTGATGAGAGCTGGGGCATGGGCAGCGGCTTGGAAGGAAATGGAAAAGGTCGATGTTGAAGTTGGCCTTTGGCTTCCTTCGGAGATCAGGAGGGAATTGGAGAGGCGACTTTTGGAGCAAGAGGTGGATCACTTTGAGAATCGATTGCAGGTGCCGCATTTGCAGGCGCCCGAACATGAAATGTCCGCTGAAGCGCGCCGCCCTTCGCTACATGGCCGTACACCTTCCTCGGCAATTGAGGAGCCCAGTTCTTTTGTTCCGGAACCTATCGAATCCGCCCCAGTTACAGAAGAAAAAGCAGCTAGAGAGCAACGAATGCCGGAGCCTCAGTATGTTCCGCGATCAAGTGACGATATCGATCTACAGACATTGCTGGTGAACTACGTTCGAGTATTGGCTAGTGACCGACGCAACGTCGCAATTGCCGTGCTCAGCCTCCTGGTTCTGTTCCTCGCGGTCAATTCTGGGCCCCAAGCAAACCAATCGGCTCTCCGGCCATTCCCCAAGGACATTCTGGAAGCCGCATCTGCTTCTACATCAGTGACGTCTCCGATGTATTCTTCGTCTGCGAGCTGGGATAGGCCTACGAGTTGCGCAAGTTCAAGCATTGAGGTCCAGCATATTGGAGAAATAAGCTCGATTACTTCTAGCTCTCGGGAGATTCTGCAAAGCGCGGCGACGCCCTTGAGTTCAGTAGTAATTGCTCCCGCGGAGATTCCCAAGGCTGTGTCCGATGATCCCCCACCGCCACAGGCAGAGCCCGAGGCAAGCTCTTCTGTGGAGAATCCGCTTGTTATTCGAGATATAGAGCCGGTGACCCCTTTGAGGCTAGAGTCTATGGAGAGTCCGGCGGCGGAGGCCCCACTACTAGACCGTCCAGAACTGATTCAGCCGGTGAGCCCGGCAATGGAAGTAGTCATCCATGCGAACCAAGAGGCGGACGACTGAACGACGTATATGAGCTATAATGCCGTTAGGATGTGATTGACGACCGATATGAGACATTTATTGTTTATTTTGTTTATTCTGCCTGACTTGTTTGTTTCTCTGCAGTTGGTGCCTGTTTCTGATTAATATCTCACTATGGACTCTGTATTTACCTCCAGAAGTAGCGACCATCAATATGTTTACATTAGCTGCACTGATCTACCTATCACAATGATCGGTCAAAGTTTAACACTAACGTTGCAAGCGCGCCACTGCAGGGCAGGCTTAAAGTGACAGGTCATGGCGATAACCCGCTTCCGGGTCAATAAGATTCGATAACCTAGCACCACATCGTCAATCTTTTCTTCTCTCCTTGCTGATATCCAACTAATCAGCTAAACAAATGACCAAACTCTGTATGTCCCGGGCCAGTTATCAGTGCAGTGGCAATGCTAACTTGTCGCCTTAACCCACATCTCCAGTGTGAAGTTCACGGGTTTTGTGAACGACATGCAGAATCCACATTATCGCGCATCCGCGACCTGCAATAATATCTAAATTTATTGGTTTCGCTAATAATTGAAGCTTGCGGTGAGCAAGACAGTCTGCACCCTGCTAGAAATGTTCGTATGCCGGTAGGCCCTGCATATGACGGATCCAGTATCTTGGCCATCGGACGGCATTATGACAAGCCCTAGTCATGAACCTTTCGCTATACGTCTCGGGTCCTCCATCCCTTGCCTTGACCTTCGGGCATCAATGGCATCAGGTCAATGTGCCTCTTGAGTTCTGTCATTATAAAAGCCTCAAACTTCTCGCAGGATGAAGGGAACTCAACCACGACAAACCAGTCCGCGACTCGGCCCTGTTCGACTGTATATATTCTGTGGAACTAGGTAGTTGGTTCCTTGTATATTTCTTTATTTGGTTTTCTGAGCCCCAGCATGAGTATATCTCAAAGCAGGCTGGCCCTGTTGGCCCTTTGCTTCGTGCAATGGGTGTCCGGCCGTGTTGTGCAGTTCCAGCTAGACCTGACCTATGAAGATGTCAGTGTCGCTGGTGATGTACACAAGGCTATTGTGAGTAATGGACAGATTCCTGGGCCCACGTTGTGGTTGAAGCAGGGTGATGATGTCGAATTTTTGGTCAACAACTCGATGTCAATCAATACTACGGTTCATTTTCATGGTGAGTACTACCTCTCAATTGTATGATCCTTTGGCTTCGATGTTCAGAACGCCTTTTCCTATAGAGCTTTACTAAAGATTTGTAGGTATCGAGCAACTAGGCACCCCGTGGTCAGATGGTGTACCTGGACTCTCGCAGGAGCAGATCAAGCCGGGCGAACAGTTTCTCTATAAATGGAAGGCAAGCCAGTATGGCTCGTACATTTATCACTCGCACACACGGGCTCAGATTGATGATGGCCTCTATGGGGCTATCTACATTGAACCGGCAGACTCCGTGGAGAGGCCTTTCCATTTGATCGCTGGATCTGATGCGGACGAGCAGCAGGCGATGTTGGCAGCTGAAAAGAATACACGGCCAGTTCTCATCTCGGATTGGCGAGCCTTTTCTTCGCATGACATTCTTCAGATTCAAACCGAGTCTGGTGTTGAGGCCTACTGTGCCAACTCTGTTTTGATCAACGGAAAGGGCTCGGTGATTTGCCCGTCTCAGGAACACATCAATGCTGCCACAACACCGCAACAAAAGCAGATCCTGGGCAACTTGACTTTGACTGATATGGGGTATGAAGTCCCAGGCCTTGATGATGGTTATAATGCTGATCTTGACCAGATGTCTGCCTCCCACGCCCGGTGTTGTGGGTCCGTACCCGTACGACCTCAGCAAGATTCCCAAAGGTTTCTACGAAGGATGCACACCTAGTGAAGGGCCCACAGAGGTTTTCAAGGTCAACTCCTCATCGCGGTATGCTAGCTTTGACTTTATTAGTATGGCTGGCTCGACTTCGCTTGTGTTCTCCATCGATGAGCATCCGATGTATGTTTACGCGGTCGATGGCCGTTATGTTGAACCTTTGCTTGTCGAAGCTGTTACTGTGCCTGTCGCTTCAAGATACTCAGTTATGGTGCCACTCAAGTCGGAAGACCAGGCAGGAGATTATACTATCCGCGTTGCCAATAACTATGCGAACCAGCTCATCAACGGGACCGCCGTCCTGTCGTATGACACCGCTACACCGAAGCAGATCGGTACCTCGCAGCCTTATATCAACGAGGCTGGCGCTAATGCCACTGCCTCCACGGTCATTTTGAACGAAACCGACGTGATACCCTTCCCCGTGGTAGCACCTGCTAAGAAGGCGGACCGGACTTACATCCTGAATGTCGAAAATGCCAATTCATCCTACACCTGGACCCTGGGCAACCAGTACCCCGTGTCGAATGAAGAGCTTCGCCCTCCTGTCTTGTTCAACCTCAGCTCAATCTCGCAGGCGTACTCGGCCATGACGGAGTACGGTACCTGGGTTGATCTCATCATCAACATCACCACCTCGGGCCAGCCTCAACACCCCATCCACAAGCACTCCAACAAGTACTTCGTGATCGGAACCGGTAACCAGCCCTTCATCTGGTCCTCCGTGGAAGAGGCAATGAAAGACATACCGGAGAATTTCAACTTCGAAAACCCCCAGATGCGGGACACTTTCTACTCGCCAAGCTCAAGCACAGGGCCGAGCTGGCTGGCAATGCGCTACCATATCGTGAACCCAGGGCCATTCCTACTTCATTGCCATCTTCAGATGCACCATGTCGGTGGATTGGCACTGGCCTTGCTGGACGGGGTGGACGCCTGGCCAACCGACATTCCCGAGGGGTATCGGTTGCCAGTGATGCCAATTTAGGGACTTTGACTCAATTGTACAGAGGTGGACGAGAGTATCTACTTTAATATGGCCATATAGCGCCTCTCATATAGATCGGATGTAATATTATTTACTACATAATGAACATGCTTGGTGACTTACCAATTCCCCAGTTATGGTTTCAAAGTAAAAGTGAGAGCAATCACACCAAATCAGGCACAGCAGTCAGTCGCCTGGCGTGAATTGCTGGCGGCGGTGTGTTACCGAAGCCATTCACTGCTGCTGGCCCTCTTCTTCGAATCGACTGTTTCTTTCTCACTTTGTTTACTCGACTTCTCTTCTATCCTTCCCGCCTCGTCGATACCACCGATACACTTTTCCCACTTCGTGTGATCGATCTGTCGGTAATCCAACGGTTCATCTAAGCGTTCACCATTATCACCTGCACACACTTTTCCTCCTTCTCGTCCACTCGTCATTCAAGAAAACATTAACTTCCACAACAATCACTATGAAGCGGGGCTACGCGCCGAGAAATGAGAAGATGCACTTTGGCATCCAGTCCGGCGGGCCCAGTGCCTGCAAATCTAAAAAGGGAGTAGTAGTGCCTTGCTTGCTCGGTCTCCCCAGTGAAATTCTCACTACTATCTTTGAATATGTGAGTACATCCCCGCGAGGTCCAAGACGCGTTACTGACTTTTTTTTTCTTTCTCTCTCAGTCTGGTGAAAAGAGCCTCTGTAGTCTGGCTGGGGTGTGCCAGCAGTTCCACGGCATGGCCGTGGCGCTGCTGTACCGCAACGTCCACCATGGCATTCATACAGATGATCCTGTCTACACTGAGAGATCCCTGGATCGGTTCACGGCTATGGTGGAGGTAGTGAGTACTAGCAACCTTCAGTACGCGTCTAGTGTCAAGAACATTGCTGTGAGGCATATCGCGCCCTACGAATCAGATAATAGACAGGGAGGTGTGGTCAAAAGGCCTAGTCAAAGTTACTACACAGGCCGGTATCTGTGTAGTCTTATTGCCATTACTCTGCGGAAGACGACCGGATTAACTAGCTTCAGGTAAGTACAAGACAGTCTTGAATACATGATAAAGTATTCGTGTGCTAACTTCTGTAGTTGGGATATTCGTTTGGAGCTCACACCCTCAGTGTACCAAGCGATCAGCCAAATTCCTGACATTCGGGACGTGCATATTCGCCTGCCAGCATGCACAACGCCAGGAGCCACTGATTCTACGCTTGGACAAATGCTCCAGACTCCCCATTACCACTTCCACCAAAATAATCCGCCTCCCAGGGAAATTCGACCCAGTTGCACCGGGGCCGAAGCTCAATTGCTGAAGGATCTCGACAAACTTCAGCATGAACCAACTCTTTCCCTTCTTTCGGGACTAAAGAATCTCTCGGTGTTGGATATTGAGGATCTGAAACTGGTGTTGCAGCTCCCACAGTGTATCTCGCAGTGCTCGTCAACGTTGAAGTCTCTCAAGTTGTCGTTTTCGGACGAGCTTGCAAAGTCGGCGCGGAAGAAAACAGCTTCCAATTCGGCGCCAGACGCGACGACGGCATTCGGGGATATGCTCAATTTCGCTGCACCCCAGTTCGAAGAAGACCTTCTCTTGGATCAGCAGGCCACTCCAGCCGATCCTGCTCTACCCCCAGATCCCGTGGTCCGAAGGGAGCGCTCCATTCAGGAGTCAATTCTGGCGTACATCTTCAAAGTGGGGGATGGCGACCGTCGCAACAAGTATCTGCAGGAAGCCCTGCTGGAAGGTAATGCCCGCAAATCGCAGGCGGAGGATAGTAGCGCTTCGGAAGAGGCAAGGGACCAAAAGTTTCTGAAGTGTGTGCGCTCAATGGTCCGCGTGCTGCCAAAGATGATGGTGCTTAACTCGGAAAATCCAGCCATCATCAACGTACTGCACAAACTCGACCAAGCTGCAACTCAGTATCTGGTCCGAAATGCCAAGCAGCCGAGCGAGAACGTTGTTAAAGCGAGCGCCAGCAATTCTGCCTCAGCCAGTGCTCTCAAGCCTACTCCGTCGATCAGCGGCAAGACCGAATTCTCTGTGAGCAAGAAGAAGGAGAAATGTCCGACCGACGTGATCGATATGGAGCATCCTGACGTTGTTGAAGAGGAGGGAGAAGATCAGGTGTTCGTCGATGAGAGACAGCGGTCAGTCACAGAGGCTAGTGTTCGGGCTTTTGCGCGTCAGCCAGTGCAGGCAGCAAGACCCAGTTCATCTGCCGATAAAGGAAAAGGAAAGCAGCCGGTCAGAAATCCTCCGGTCGAAAAGCGCACAGCAGAAGAGGCGCGAGAGTGCTATGTTCGCAACACGCATGGCATCCCACTGGAAAGCCTTTCAATCCATCTCATTCCAGTGACCGCCGGGGTGCTTAGCAAGGCCGTTGACCTGACCTCTCTCCACCACCTGTCGCTACTCAACGTTGGACCTCAAAGCACACTCTGGGCTTTCCTCAAGCGACTCAACCAGATCTACCCCCTGCCATTGACATCCATCCATACGGACAATGTCACGCCCGCGTTCTGCAGTTTCGTCAACAGCATGGACAAGATCACCGAGCTGTTCCTGTTCGAGCGCTACAGCAAAGCCAAGGTAGAGTCGCTGGCCGCCAAGACCACCATAAGCGCATTCACCATTCGCAGAGAGATCCTACACAAGCACATGCGCAACCTCCAGCGACTGGTAATCCGCAACGACGAGAGTGACAGCTGGGCTGCCGACCCAGCGACCATACTACAGATCAGCCAGCGGGGAGGCAAGCTGATCGAGCTCGGCGTTTCGGTGAACAACTGCGGCATGGTAAGTCAGCTGTCATCTTCTTTTCCAACCCAATCTGATATAATACTAACCTCAATAGCACTCTCTCATGCAACAAATCGGCAGCTTCTGCTCTCTCAAGGCGCTGCAAGTCTTCTGGTACCGCCAGGACATGTGCACGACCACGCTACGCGAAGTCCATCACAGCCTTATCGACGGCATCTATCACTATTGGCACCTTCGCATCGAATACGTGGCCATGTGCTATTGCATGCATGGACCGATCGCAAACGGCGCGATTCAGGTTCGCGGTCGCGTCAGACACCTGAACAAAGCGTGCGCGATTCTCAAAAAGGAAGCTGCTGCTGAAGAGGCTGCTTCTTCGTCCTCTTCTTCGCAGCCAGCTTCAACTAATAACGCTCCACACGGCACTATGTTTCCGATGGAGAACAGTGAAGGCGATCCAATGCCCCTTTTTGGGGTGGAACTGAGCACGCGGGCGTTGCTGAGCATCGAGGAGATCAGCGGGGTGAAGATGTGGGAGAAGGGAGCGTGGGAAATGAAGTTGTAGCCGATCCCAGACTGCCACTGCGGTAGCAGCCTGGGATCGGCTCGTGTGTATGAGTATGAGAAGTTTTCAGATGAAAGTTGATGAAAGTGGATGAAGATGTGATGGAAAGGCGGATGTGTGTGAGGAGGAGAATGAGAAAGGAAGAGAAGAGGGAGGGACAGCGAGCAGATTAAATAGTCTTAACACGCTTAGTCGCCTCGACGATGTAATCAAGAAGATATTCACAGTTGAAGTGACAAATCTCACATCGTATTCTCACCTTCTAACTACAGTTCTCACATCGCATTATCATCTTCTAACATATTCATCCTTACCTACCTCATCCACCACCTAAAACATCACGATACAACAAATACTCCTAGATAGATAGGAATATGAGGGCTTCCCCCATCACATGCCCATTTCCACCCCCTCTTAGTCATCTCAGCTCCACTTTCCCTCCAATTTCCTTCCGTCCCGGCCCATCAACTCCCGCCATAGGATGACATCGTTGCTTTTCTTTTTCTTCCTCTTTCTTCTTGCTTCCTAGCTACTTTTCCTACCTACTTACCTGCAACACTCACTTTTTCTCTCTTTCCCCTCCCCCACATCAATAACTACTGTATATACTATCCGCAAAAATGGGAGGCAAGAAGGCCGCCGGCGAGAACTCCAAGAAGGCTGCGGGCAATGCCCGTGTACGTTCACCTACCTCAGCTCTCTGCAAAATATTACCCCGCCCCCGCTCCATCACCACCTTTTTACCATCTTCTCAACCACAACCACTACGCCAACGCTAAAAAAGCAATGCTAACAAATCTTGATTAATATGGATATAGAAAGCCGAAGCCGCCGCCAGCAAAAAGGCCGCCGAGGACGCCAAGCGCGCCGCCGAAGAAGACGCCAAGTGGTCCAAGGGCGCGAAGGGTAACAACAAGCGGTACGCCATTCCCTTCCCCATGACCAACGGTTAAAAAAAAAAAAAGAAAAAGAAAAAAGAATGCTAACGCAATCTCTTTGGAAATTCAGCGAAGACGCCGAAGCCAAAAAAGCCGAAGCCGCGCGCAAGAAGGCCGAACGGGACGCCCTCCTCGCCGCCGAAGAAGCCTCCCAGCCCAGCAAACCCAAGAACACGAAAGCCGCCGCGAAGAAGAACGCCGGACCCAGCCGGGGCACATTGGATCTGTCGCAGCTCGACGATTCCCCGGCCAGCAAGAAGGCTTCTGCGCTCAATGCGTCTGGTATCGACAATGCGCTCGACGCTTTGTCGCTTACGGGCAAGGATAGCGGCAAGGTGGATCGGCATCCGGAGAGACGATTCAAGGCTGCGTATGCGGCGTACGAGGAGAGACGGTTGCCTGAGATTGAGGCTGAGAATCCGGGTCTGAGACGTAACCAGCGCATCGAGATCTGTAAGAAGGAGTTTGAGAAGAGTGAGGAGAATCCGTTCAACCAGGTGCATGTGGCATTTGATGCGAGTCGGGAGGAGATTGCGGCTGTGAAGGAGGCGGAGAGGAAGAAGGTTGAGGCGAGGTTGGCGAAATGATCTCTTTCATTTTTTTTTTTCTTTCTTCTATTTCGGTTTATATTTTGTTGTATGGGGGAGGAAGGGTTTGATATAGTTGGGTTTGGATGATATACCCGGTTTGCTTGTGGAGGGATGGATATTTCTAAAAAGCATAGAGCATATAGCTGATAGCAGATGAGATGATTAACGATGCAATGGTATCATGCAATCTATATCCATATCCAATACACAGAACACACGACACGCAGAATCAATGGACGGATGGAGGGAGGAATCGGGTTAACCCATCACTGCTCTCACATCCCACACATACAAACTCTCATCCCATCCCACACTCGCACACCATCCCTCACTCCCAAACATACACCAATCCACCCCCGTCACAAACTCCGTATGCCGACCCATTCTCCCCAACTCAACCCCCATATTCGGCCCCGGTCCAGCCCGCATCACATCGACATCGCCAACCGCCCCCGGCGGCGTCTGATCACTCCAAGCCCGACACGTCATATCATAACTGGCACTCAGCAACACATCCGACAAATGCGGCGACCAGGCCACCTTCCGCACGGCATACTCATGTCCCAGCATCACCGTCTGCGGGCCCTGCCCAGGCGCCCGAATATCAAACGTGCGAATCGTCCGATCCACCCCCGCTGTAGCTATCGTCGACGGGCGATACTTATTCCAATCCATAGTCAACGCCTCCGCCGGCGCCGTCGCCGCCATCGGACCCCCACCCGGCACTATTCCTCCCCCAGCGGCACCACCACCACCACCATGAATCGGCACCTGCAAAGTCAAATGGTTCGACGCCGACGCCGGCGTCCGTAGATCAAACACCCGTAGATACGAATCCGACGACACACACGACAATATATCAGGCGAATGCGGAGAAAACGCCGCGCTGTACGTGCAGCTATGCGTCGGCAAAGTAAGAAGGGAATGCGGGCGGTTTGGTGTCCACACGCGCACCGTCCCGTCCCAACTACTACTGCAGAAACGGTCCTTTGCGACGAGGTTCCAGTGCACGCTGAAGACTTCGCGGTTGTGCTCTTTCCAGTTTTGGATTGGGAAGTCGGCGACTCCGGTGTCGAAGAGCTTGATGCTTCCGTCGCCTGAGGCTGTGAGGACTTGGTTTTCGTGGATCTCGGACCATGCTAGGTCGTAGAGGGAGTCTTGGGTTGTGAACCTGGTTTTTTTGAGGCGGGAGTTGGTTAGATTTTGGGTGGGTTTGGAAGTGGGATGGGGATTGGGGGATGGGGATACCATTTGTAGGGAACGATTCCGTTCGGAGTCAGCTCGAGAATGTAGAGTCGGCCATTGCCGACGAGGCCAAAATTGGCGGATGAGGCGACGGCGAGGCGGTTGTCGAAGAAGGGTGAGTACTTGACTGCGCAGCCGTTGAAGCCTTCTGTGCGGAAGTGGAGCATTTTGGAAGGGTGTGGTGAAATGGAGTGGAGATGATTGTTGATAAGGGAGGGGGGATTAATTGGGGTAAGGGATCATGGCGTTATGAAAGTGAGGGGAAGGTGGTGGGTGGATTGTTGGTGTTGGTGTTGGTGTTGAAATGGAGAGATTAGTAGATCATGGAGATGCGGATGCAATTGCAGATGAAGATGGAGATGGACTGACTGCGGGGAGTCAACGTGCCGAGGTTCGGTCACTATTTGGGTCATTCTGGCGGCCTGAGGCACACAATGATGAATGCCTGAAGGGTATTGTGTGCCTCAGGCTAGCAGCGAGTAGATGGATCATATTTCTGCCGTTTTAGGAAATCCACTAGCCTCTCAACCAACCTCAACACGGGATGCCTTGTAGCTACCATCGACAGTGTAGAGTCTCCTTTGGTCTTGTATAGGTAGCAATATATGTGACACAGGTTGTTGTTGGCTATTAGGGTCAACGATGTACTATTACCGTAAGTGGACTACTCTGTAGTTCATGGAACCGTCATTGAAATAGGCTCCTTCAGGCCAGGGGTCCTCGCTTACAGTAATAGTATACTCAGGAGTAAACAGTCATACGGAGTAGTTGCATTCAACTGAGACACGGCATCTCCTTCAAACTCCTGACAGCACAAGCCACAAGTATTCTACTAGGGATCACCGACCATCCTCGTCTTCCTCCCTGGTGTTTGTTAGCACTATACGTTTCAATCTCTCTTCTCCTTCCCTACCCCAGACAATAACCAAAATAAACAGTGCCGTGTTTTCTTCTACCCCCGATCCTAAATAGTCAACGACACCAGAGAGCCTTACGAATGATGTGACGCCGCCGTTTCACTTGACGAAGAACATCTGCTCCCCCCGAAAGCATCCAGCAGGCGTGAACTTTCAGAATCGGTTGATAAAGCCCAACAAGGATCTCCAAAGCTATTTAGACTTCCAGCTGTTGACACCGAAGTTAAATTGCATCCACCATATGTTATGGCTCGCGGGTCTCCCGCGTGCAGGGTGCCCACTCCATCGCCAGAAACTGATGAAGCGTACGGTGATACTCACGGAGTCGCCCGATGAGCATCTAGTTTGGAGCCCCGGGCGAGTCCTCATCAAGCCAGTGCCAGAGTATCTCCTCGATCACAAGTTCTGGGTGCGAAACATCTGCCCCAATCGCGAGTTGTACGCCGTCGCGTGCGGGCTGCTTTTATCATATGCATGGCTCATCGCCGGGCTGATCGATCTCCGAATCGCCAAGAACGAGCACATTCTTCCCAGCGACGTCAAGTGGTAGGCCTGGACGAAGCTTGCCCAGGAGGTCCTCGAATGGAAGGACAAGAACCAATGATAATGATAACAGCAGGAATAGTCACCTACCCGCACTGAATGATCCTTCGGTCCAGCCCCAGCCTGCAATTAACAACAAACGTTACGAGTTTGGCGAGCTGCGTCTTAGTCGCCTGAATTATATATACCGGCTCACACCCTCGATATTTTCCATCCGTAACCTTCAAGTTGTTCTCGGGTTCATGCCGGGCTCGACATGGTACCAAGAGTTTTCTGAGCGCCATTTTTCGTGGATCCTGGCCGTACTCGTCTACCTGTCGGTCTTGTTATCGGCCATGCAGGTGGGACTGGCAACCGATACACTGCAGGGAAATCGGCGGTTTCAGAAGAGTTGCACTGTCTTCGCCTTGGCGTTTATCTTCTTCACGGTGAGTCTGCTGTGGATTATGCCGGTGATGTGGGCTGTGTTGTTTTGTTATCATTTTGGATTCACGATGTTGTACCATAGGCGGTTACAAAGGGAGGGGAAAAAAACTGTATAGGAAAAGTGTGTGATTATCCGGGCTGGGATGGTAGTGGTCAGGACATGTACCGAAACCCCAAATGGATTGATAGACAGGCTATAGTGCGGCTAAGCAAACCCCAGTAGTTAAACAAAGAAATGAAAGAAAAAAGCAAGCAGCGGAGGTAACTTTATGTACCTCGTTCTTTGTTCAAGATGTAGAACAATCTCCCTATCCCCGGATCTTCCCAACACAACCCATGAGAAGCAGCAATCGCTCATACCTACTTAAGAAGAGACTTCATGCCTCTCGTTCAGATGAAGTCTTCATTCTTCGTTTCCATAAGCCTTGGTGATTGTACCCTTTCTCCGGGTGGCTGTGAAAACTACTTCGTGCCCTAGCTCAGAGTTAAGGTGTGAGCACGGTTGCTCCTTTCTCCTCCTCTCGGCATTTTACAGTTTGACACTAGTACCTGCTTCTGAACTTTCCCGACGAGATGTCATCGGACTCTTCTCAGAAGCGAGTCGTGGAATCAGTCGACGATATCCATGATACGGGTTCCGACGGTCATCGGGGAAAGCGATCCAAGATTGACAAGCCCTTCACCGGCGTCTCCAGCTCCGTTCGAGACACGGAAACTTCTCCGAGCTCTCTCGTGCCTGAAAATAAAGCACACGATGTTTTACAGCCGAAAGGCGACCAAGCCGGTGACCATTCGGAGGCCATCTGTGAGTACAACACCTACTGTCGAGCCCCCCTCACCTCAACCGGAGTCTAACTTCTCATGTTATGCCCAGGCTCTCCAGCACCACAAGCGCTTTCGCCCAAACCTTTGGCTCCAGAACCTGTCCAGGACCCTCCCCAGCAATGCCACAATAATAATGACAAGGTCTTGCAGAGCACTCAGGAAGATAAGGCAGAATACATATGCTTCGGGATGGTACGTGATATGGATCACCTTTTCATTGCCTCCTCCTTTCCCCCTTTTGTTCATTTCTCTACCCATCCAGTATAGCTAACGTGGGATAGCTGAGAGATGTCGATATCAAAATCCAGCCTGTTCTGGGTTCGTACTCTCTAAGCGTTGATCAATCATTCGGGATACCTGATACGTTTGCTTCACTCACTCTCTCGATAAAACCGTCGCAGAGTGATTTTCTTTCGAGCGAGGGCGCTTGTATTGCGACGATAGAGTATGCAACACACCGTCGAATTAGCTCCATAAAAGTCGAAGAGGACCCGATCTGGCTGGGTGTGATTCCAAAAAAGAAAATCCGGCAGAAGATAAGAGCAGTGACCAAGAGTTTTTCTTCAGGATCTTACTCTCCATCCTCTTGGACGTACAAAATCAATATTCTTGCTATCGGCCTCTCGACTATTGCGAAACCCCTGGCAGACCAACTTACTCAGCCTCAGCATGGTCGGCGTCAGTTGCAGTTGCGTTGTCCAGTCCCAAAGCCCGACCAGATTAGGTATTATAATCCCCAATGGTCGTACACATTGGGACCACCGCCTTCCGAACAGTTGAAACCACCACATACACCGCGGATTGCTAATCAGAAGGAGTTGAATGGTTCTGACGAGGCGGGAGCGAACAAGCGCAGACTTCGAAGATGATCGTGGTGACGCTCAAGCGGTCCTTATAGAGTCCAAATAGTCAGTTCGACGGCAGGCGATAGCGTAAGTGGCCGCCCGGCAAATGCATTTTCGGGGGTACTTAGTGATGCAGCGGATGAAGAACATCATAAACGAAAATCCGGGAATGTGAATGTATGGCTTTACACTCAACTTGAGAGTCGGCTAGATATTTTGTAGTGTAGACCCAATGGCCGCTAAAGCCTAAGACCGTATTAGACTAACAGCAGAGTATTTCAACCATGTGACTACTACTCCTTACTGTAATAGTCAGTAATGCTAATACCTAGGTGACAAGTTTTGAAGTAGATCTATATTGTTTCCAAACGGACCATGTCAATAAAATAGAGGTATAGGGTATTCTCAAACTGAAGCCGCACCTACATGTCTCTTCCAATATATCCAGCTATGCGTGAGAATTACCGGTAATTCATTCAATTGCTAGATTAATCCACCGAGAGGCCTATAAAAATACACCAAGTATCACTTAATCTGCCTCAGGAAACGACAGATTCTTACCTGAATAACTTGAGTTGTATCTTTAGTGTAAAAGATCTGACATGGCTTCTAAATCAGTGAAATGTGCCTTTGTGCCGATATATATGTACTACTTAGTAGTAGAGGTAGATAGTACTACTAACTTACTTTCTTTTCCTACCTTTCTTTCATCGTAACATAGCCACAAAAATGCGACTGACCCCGTGATCAGCAGCTTCAGTTGGTCAGTAGCCTTTGTCGGCACTGAATACAGAGTTAACACAACTTAGTTTACTTAGGTATTACAGAATCTCTGAACCTCAGCACTCTGAAATAATTGCGGACTCACAGTGAAGTGGTGAAAGTAGCCATGGCTGTCATTCAGTTACTTCGTTGCCCCAAGTTATCAAAAGCGGCATCACCGGTTAGTAGGCACGCAGGACTTATACCTTAGCAAATCCCCAGTTATGTGACTTCTAATACTGCAATAATACCTAAATCCGAATAACCACATACTCCGATAATCCCGCTATCAATAAGGGCGATATTCCACTCCTCTACAGAGTGGTAGATCTATACTTTCCCAAAACGGATGTCAACAAAACATTGGCAGCTCCCATGTCGAGCATGTCACACTGACGCCACACCCACATTCCTCTCCATCCACTCATCACCCCCAACTAACTATCAATCAGATTAATACTTACTACTTACTATCCAATCAATCAATCACTCAAATTAATCCACCATGAACCCACCTACAACAAATCAACCACCACCTCCGACATACCACCCCCTCCCAGAATGAAACCCAAAAAAGAAGACAAAGATCCCACCACCCCAGCCTCCACCTTCCTCCAGACAGAACTCTACCACACAGCCTCACAACCAGGCCTCCGCTCCCTCCCACCCAGTCCCTCCCGCGACTTCCTCACCCTAACCTGGGGTCCAATAATCTACCTAACGACCTACACTCCTTCCTCCTCCCACAATCTCCTCTCCCGCTTCCTGCAATCCCTCAACTCCGAAATCCACCACGCCATTCGGCGCGTCCTGCCGGGGAATCCTTCCCAAACTCGACTTTTAGAATCCAGCTACGCGGCGAAGGTCTTCAGCGGGGAGAAGCTGTATGGGGATAAGAGCGTCGAGGAGATAAGACGGGTGTTTCATGATTGGAAGAGAGTGGAATTGGCGTTGCCGGCGGTGGAGTTACCTGTGAGGTTGAGGGTGTGTTTGGTTGTTGATAAGGGGGTTTTGGAGAGGTTTGGGAGGTTGGTTGATGGGGATGGGGATGGGGATGGGAGGGGAGGGGATTGTTGTCCGGTTATTATGGTGGAGGAGAACTTTCCTGATATTAGGCGGAGGGATTCGAATCCGGCTGATGAGGGGTTTCCGGGCTGGACGTGGGTGGCTTTAAGGGCGGTGGTGGAGGTGTACGATGGGTTGAGGGGGGCTGGGGGGTTGAGGAAGTATCATCGTGAGGGGGAGGTGTATTTGGGGGATGGGAGGTGGGGGGAGTTGGGGTAGGGTGGGTTGTATGGAGTGTGTATGATATTATGTGTATACTACTGGATCAGGAGTATGGTTGGACTGGTTAGATTGGCGTCAGTGGTGTGCTTTGGCTCAAGGGATGGGTTAGAATATTTATCGTACGATTGTCTTCGAAATGATTTTGCAGCTTACACATACCAAATTAGCAAGGAAATTATCTGGCTTATTTTACCCACTAAAACATTCAGAGTATGTTAAGAGAGCGTCTTGTGTTGCTGTTTCCACTCCTGATTGATCCCTCGATAATCATGCACTGTGTACTCCTCAAAAATCTCTCGCAGCCAGCTTCTCTTCCTCCATCTGCTAATCCCCAGGTCCATCAATAGCATATCCAGATACGGGATCGCATCAAATATCGTCTCTGGATACCAGCTCGCGAACCCACATGGGTGTCGATGCTTGCCATATCGACTGGTCAGTGCCGTCTGATAATACACCTTCGATCGGTCAATTGGGACTTGGTTGTTGAGATAAGCATAGGCCCAGAGAGCCTGCACCTCGACCAGAAGAGCGTTGCTTGGTCCATTAAGCATCTTCAAGAATGCAATGGACTGATTGCCTTTGGCTGTCAACTCTGGAGATGCAATTCCGCGGTAGAGCCGGAAAGGACTGAGCCCGAGCTTGTACGGAATCTTCACAGCTGGTTGGTCACGCAGACCTGGAAACCGATCAAGTATCTCTTCATCCGCAGCGCGGTCGAAACGATCCCAATCTTTTCGGTCTTTGGAGGGTTTCCTGGTGGGAATCCCCAGGCTGCGTTCTAGTCCCTCGGGCTCGTACTTGATGCTTGGTATTAGCTTCCATCCAGTTATTCTGATTACAGCATCGGTTTTTAAATCTGTTCCATCGGTAAAGTTGACTTGGCCTTCTGATAGATGCGATATGTCCTCTCTCTTTACTTTCACCTGCCCTGACCGAACATAATCATAGATATCCGTGGGATAATTGAGGACCCCCAGGCGGCCTGTCCAGAACACACTGTGACCCGCTGTTAGTCATGAAGTTTGGCTTTCGGTGATCTTACCTTTCATCTGGTTCCAGATTCTTCAACGCCGCTTCTTTCCGGTAGCCATTGACCTCAATGGCATCCCCGTTTAGTTTATTCCAAAATGATCGCACTAGCCACCTTCCCAGCGCTGTCCCATGGAGCAGTCCTCGCACCCATCCAAACCCATCACAATTTCCCCAGATGCAAGGACTGAACCAGGTGATTATTCTGGTGGTTGTTAGGCCTTCCAGCTTCAATCGCCAGGGCCCAAACCAAAGCCATGGCAATGCCATCCAGACAGCACCTCCTCCAGACTTACGAATGATCCATTCCACACGTTTACCATGAGAGGCCATAAGATACACGGCATCATATCCATACTTTGAGGCCCCAATCACCGTTACCGACTTTCCCGCTGGGTCATTGGCCAAAAGAGCGCCTGTTGTTCCGAGCTGAGAGTGATTCATGATGGGTCTCTCAAAGCTTTGCTGTCCCGGGATCGTGAATTCATTCGGAGTCGAGAAGAGTCCGGGGCTCATGATGAGTTTATTACACCTGTAGAATACCGAGCCGGTGTGAAGCGCCCAGAACCCATCAGCTTTTTCTACTGTATGCACACGAGTGTTGAATCGAGTCCGTCGTCGAAGATCGAAATGATCGATGAAGTCACTGAAGTACTGCTTGAGCGCGTATCCAGGGATGGGAGCTTCCGGTTGCACATCATATTTGGTTGGATCAAGCGAGAAACTCGAAAACTCATAAGTTCCGTAGAGATTGTTGGTATGAAGCCCTTCATAGCTGTTTTCTGCCCATACGCCGCCTACAGCCGAACGCTGTCAATGTAGATCAGTGGACAGCTGGATGGGCATTTGGTGCGGGATAGAATACCGCTTCAAGCATTAATAGATCCGTTTCTGGCGCCAGCTCAAGATACGTCTTTGCTGCTGCAAGACCAGCGAGTCCTGATAACCACGAGTAAGTAAGCAGTCTGAGAGTCAGACAATGGCAGGCGAAAAACACCCATACCTGCACCCACCACAATCACTTCGTGTTGTTCCTGAGGCTGCATCGTCAACAATTGCTGATGTTTCTATCTGATCAGCGTGGCATAGTAAAAGACCACCTGTCGCATCTCTCCAGAAGTCCTCTTCATGATGGCTATGACTTAGCTCAGGCAGATGACAAGCAGCAAAAGTACAATCAACTCCATTGTCCTGATCTATGACGTAGTGCGCTGATTGGCCACTTTGAGAGCAATCACGTGTCGATAAGGATATCAATTCCAGTTGCAGCAAACCTTCAAATAAACCTTCAACATCCCTCCCCAGCTTCCCCTCCATTTCCCTCATGGCTTCAAGCTCGACCTGGAGATCCTCTCCATGGATCGCTTCGTCTCCCGGAAGAGGCCCCGGAGCCCTCCACCACCAAGAACAACCGACGAGGAGTCCACCGACATGAAATTGGCCCTCCTGATGTCACTCTTCCCAACCATGACCCTGGACACGCTTATGGAAATCCTGGTTTCGAGCAATGGCTGCGTGGAAACAGCCTCATCTACCATCAAGGCTCAAACTCAAATCCAAATCCAGTCTGGCTCGGCGCCTCCGTTCAAGAAACGCGCAACAACCATTCCAGGAACCCCAGCCATCCAAACATGCTTAACCTCAACTTCCCCGACCACCATCCCCAAGCCTCTCACAAAGAAAGGCCAGACACTCCACCTCTACTCCCCCGCCTCCATAGCAGCCCACACCCCCTGCACCCTGATCCACAACTTCCTCCCCCATTCCCTTGCAAACGCCCTCCTCTCCGAACTCCTCTCCGAATCCCCGCACTTCACGAGACCCCACTTCCAACTCTTCGACCGAACAGTCCAAAGCCCCCATTCGGCCAGCATCTACGTTTCCACACCAGAAGACCACCACTCCCACACCTCAGAATACACCTACGGCGGCACCTACCGCTCCAACGTCCGCCAAATCACCCCGCACATGCGCACCGTCGCCGCCAAAGTCCAACGCACCGTGAACGAGCAGATCAAAGCCCGGGGCCCCAAGCTCCCTTTCCAATCCCCACTAGAATGGACTCCCAATGCCGCATTCGTAAACTGCTACGCCGGCCCCACAGAAAGCGTAGGCTGGCACTCCGACGAACTGACATATCTCGGCCCGAGACCCGTCATCGGGAGCTTGAGTCTAGGCGTGGAGAGGGAGTTTCGCGTGAGGAAGATCCTCCCTGTTGACACCGACAATGAGGATGAGAATAATGGTGATGATGGAGGCCAGATCTCCATTCACCTACCGCATAACTCCCTCCTCATCATGCATGCAGAGATGCAAGAGGAATGGAAACATTCTATTGTCCCTGCTAAGACGGTCATTCCGCATCCTGTTTCTGGTACGGCGAGGATTAACATCACTTATCGCTGGTATCGCGAGTCGTTGCATCCGCGGTATACACCCCGTTGTCGGTGCGGGGAACATACGGTGTTGAGGTGTGTGCAAAGGAAGAGGGAGAATCGGGGGAGGTATATGTGGATGTGTTATGCTGGGTTTGCGCCGGGGAAGAAGGGATGTGGATTCTTTCAGTGGGCGGAGTTTGATGATGATGGGGAGCCGGTGTGGGGTCTGAGGGGAAGGGAGGATAGTGGTGAGGATGCGCCGAGGTTGAGGAATTTTGTGGAGGGTAGGGTTGAGGAGGGGGATGAGGTTGGGGGTGATAGTGTATAGATAGATATGAATTTGTGATACCCTTTATGTAATTATAGCGGATACGGACTCATGTATAGTTCGAATGGAAGTCATATAATCCCGCCTCGATCTAAGAGACCGGATTCCGAGTGCACTGAAGTGATAGCCTAAAAAGCAGATTGATTCCCGCTTGTAAAACAGCAAACTGTTAACATGAAACTAAACGCCATAACTCCTGTACTGCCCTTCACAGAAGCATACTCCCTAAGCAACCATGTAGCCTGTCTGTGACTTATCACATGTATAGTGGCAGCCACATATAAAAGGTCAATCCTTTAGTGTAGTCCCTGGAAAATGAGATCCTTCGCTGACATAGGCCAAGTCGCGCCTTCGTGAGCCCAAACCAACCATGCCCTGTGGCTGTCCCAAAACAAGATTAGTCGAGCCTTTCCAACGATCTGCATCAGTATCATCTCAACCGAACGTCTCTGTCGAGCAGCGCTCCACATAAGCAGGGCCATTCAAAACTCAGTAATCGTCTCACGTCCATAATACCCCCGATACAGTGCACCAAAAGTCTACTCTCATACCCTCGAAGTCTATTCCATGAGATCCAAAACCGGATCGGCGATCTTCATACCACTCGACCAAAACCACGACAGCCTCGATGTCCAGAACCACCACCCCAACCAACCGCCTTCAACCATGAAACTTGGTTTGCAGACAAAACCCAATTCAATTCTCCTCCCGTCTGCGCAGCGGCTCCTGATAAGCAGGCGGGTTCCGACCCCGTTCAAGATCCGGCTGTGTGGAGTTTCGTTTCCCTTTCTGATGATCCTGCGGCTTGACCCAGAACACCCAGGTGACTGATTTTCGGGTGCTCCAGAATTCCGAGCAGAGGAGGGCGATGGCGAGGATGCTGCAGATGACGATGATGGGGACGAGGACTAAGAGGATGACCGTGATGGATGATTTGTATTGTGAATACCAGCTAGACATATTGGGTTATGGGTGTATTGTAGAAGGTATGATTTTGGTAATTGGATGAGTAGGAGGTGGTAGGTAGTTAAGATGCTTTTGAAAGGGGGTTAGAGGTAGAGTACTATAGAGGGGATGGATGTATGGATGGGTGTTCTGGCACCGCCACGAATGTGACGTACTAGGCAGGCACGATGGATGGATGGATGGGTCATGATGACAGCCTCAGATAATGACTTCTTGATTATGTATGAGATCAGGTCAGGTCAACTGAGCCACGATCGGGTCTATTAAGGGTATATAGAGTTACTCGCGCACTG